ACTGGACATATTGAAAGTGCTTCGCTGTGGAAATTATAACCATTTTAAAACCACAATCTGCAATGTATAAATTGGTATTAAATGTAATAGATTTTTATATTGTGAAAAAAATAATTGCTTAGTTGAAAGATTAAAAAGAAAACGCTAAATCATTACTAAGAAAAATCTAAAAGGTTGGGTTTACATTAGCAATCATCCCATTTGCTCTGATTCTGCTAAATAAAATCCAGATCAACAAACAGACCCAGTTAGTCAAACTGCATGTATTCTATCACAGCTGCTCTGTGAAGGCCTTGGGTTTGTTAAGAGAGTTTGTTAGAGAACATTGTGAAATAGACAGTATCAAGAAGAACTAAAACCAACTGCTTCACAGCAGCTTTGCAGCAGCAGGTCAGGAACAAGTTGTGGAGAATTCTAAAGCAGGGTTAGGATTTAAAAATCCATCAATGATTGTTAAAGCTTCAATGCATTTTGAGTTGTTCAAATAAAAAAAAAAAATAGAAATGTTAACCTGTCATCTAAAAAGGAAGAGAAGACTTCAAAACCATTAAAACAGGGTTTAAGTGGATCAACAGAGGAACAACCAAGTTAACCCTGGAGAACCTGTTCAGATCCACAGCTCAGCTTGGTGATTCTGTTCACAATGAAAGTATTAGACGTAGACTCGATGTTACATTTTCTATGAAAGTGTGAAAAGAAAAAAGAGAACATTGGTGAAAAAAACAGCAGCTCTGTTTGTTGTTTGAAAACAGCCATGCAGTAGAGAACGAGGATATGCTTAGGTAAAACAAAACCTTATCTTTTTTTTGCAGATTCAAAATGTCATCCCCACATTTAAATATGCCACTGTCAGCATCAATAGATTTTTCACAAGATCAATAGAGTTCATAGTAATCCAGTCAAAGTTCATATCCTATTGATAATCTGTGGCAAAACTTAAAAATTTACATTTAAAGACACTATTTGGTCAATCGTATTTGCATTTTCTTTCTGTTTTAAAAAGATCTTTTAAACCAGGTACAATTTTCCCTCAACATTACAGCTATGCTCTACTTTGATGTTCATCCATCACATAAAATTTCCACAACCAAACATTGAAGTGTGTTAAAAAAAATGGGATAAAATATCACAAAATGGGACAGATGTAAATATGTCTGTAAGATCCTGTTTACACAATACTCGTTTTTTCTAAGTCATTTTGGAGTTAATGTAAAGGACTTGCAAATAGAGGGGAAACAGTAAAGAAATGGTAGGTGCTGTTAAAGTTAAATTCAATTCAGTCTATTCATAAAGTGCCAATTCACAGCACATATCATCTTAAAGCCCTTTACAGAGACAATTCCACCAGACCATACTTCTTTACTCAAGTAAAAGTAATAAAGTACAGGCTTGTAAATTTACTTAAAGTATAAAAGTAAAAGTAGAAACCACTTTTTTCATGGCGTTGCCTACATTTTAAATGGATGTCTGCCAATAGGACTAGATCTCCATTGTGTTCATTTTCAATCATCTCGTCGTTCATACTAGTATGCTAACGCCACCAAGCTGCAATGATTTGCCGCGAATGAATACCGCCGAATCTGTCAATTCATCTTGTAGTGGTGCGTCAAATGCAACGTAGATTCCCATCCAATTAGATTGAATTTGGTATTGATGACGTGAAAAATAATAACGGTAACTCCATTGAAATGATTCAAAACTAAAGTAACGAGCCAATTTTTTAAAATGTAAGGAGTAGAAAGTACAGATATTTGTGTAAAAATGTAAGGAGTAGAAGTAAAAAGTCGCCATAAAAATAAGTAGTTAAGTAAAGTAAAAATATCAGAAAAAACTACTTGAGTACAGTAACGAAGTATTTGTACTTTGTTACTTCCCATCTCTGTCGACAGCAATCCTTCACACCAAGCATTCTTGCAGCGACAGTGGAGAGGAAACTCCCTTTTAACAGGAAGAAACCTCCAGCATATAAACCAACACAACATCATAGAAACTACAAACCAACAGTTCATAACTCTAAGCCCATGAGAATTAACCTAGTGAATTAGGTTCTCAGAATACTCAATTTAATGAAAATAACCCAGTTAAATTATCCAGCATGCTCAACCTAACTGTTGGGTTAAAAAAACAACCCAGCATTTCTTAGAGAGTATAATTGATCACGTCATCTGAGTGAGGAGACAGCCTCTTAAGTAAAGGTTTAATTAATTAATTAATGTAACAGGGATAGGTTAATCACATCTAAAAAGGTGGTGGAAATCTGGGGTAATACTTCCCTAAATAACTTGTTTGGAACTGGATCTAACATACAAGTTGAAGGTTTAGATGAAGATAACAGTTTTGCTAACTCTGAAAGTTCAACTGAATCAAAACAGATCCTCTACTGTAGGTACCTCAATGCTGCCTCACCTTCCAGAGATAAGCCAATTTTATTTAGAGGGGACCAATGATCTTATTTTTAATAGAATCAATCTTATTGAAAAAGAATCTCATAAAATCATAACTGGTAGGATAGACGGTTTAAAAGAGGTATGGCTCTGTGTGAGTTTGGCAACTGTATTAAAAAGAGATCTAGGATTATTCTTATTCTCATCTAATAATAAGGAGAAATATGATGCTCTTGCTTTATGAAGGGTCATTTTATACTGGAATAGACTGTTTTTACAGACTAGTTGGAATTCCCATAAGCATGTAGAGTTCCATTTTCTCTCCAGTTTCTGGCATTTTGCTTCAAAGTATGCAAATCTACATTAAACCAGTTTTTATTTTTCAAAGGGGGCCATGTTGTCTAAGGCAGTACACAGGAAACCAGTAACCCCATCGACAAGATCATCAATTTGTGAAGGGGAATGAATGAAATGGTTGCCCTCTGCAGTATTGTTCATTGATACAGAGGTGATAAGTGGAGCAGATTCTTTCAAATGTACAACCTCATTACCTAATGTTGGTCTGCTAGGAGGAAGAAGAAGAATACTTGTTTGTGCATGCCTACTTAGTGATTTGCCTACGACCACCTTACGACGACGGTCGTAAGGTGGTCTGAATTTCAAATATGTTTGATTTTCTCCCGACGTTACGATTCCTGATCAGGGGTTGGTCGTGAGTGACTGATCAGCCCTCGTCACCCCCTGTACACTACATGATGCACGACACACAATCAGGGTGAAAGTCGGCTCGATCGAAAAATTCTATCACGACAGGAGAATCGGCCGGAAAAGGGTAAAAAAATTGTACAGTGTTTGCCCGGCTTAAGACAGGATGAATCAATGTGATTATCACAAATAAAGTCATTCACACCGACTTTTTGAAGAAATAGATAAACAAAAACAAACAGATTAAATTTTTCCCCCAGTTGTAGTCATTTTAATCTTTTACTCCTTTGGGTTTGTGCTCTAGTTTATTTGATTTCTTGTAAGGAAGACACTGTCTGGATGGAGTAGTGAGTGGGTGACATTAGAGAAGCTGCAGAGAGGTGTGTTCAACTAGCACTCTGCTTCCTGGTCTGCACCCAGCTGTATTAATTCATCACATGGCTCGGAAAACAGAAACCTGGAAGAGCAGTCTCATACAGCGTGAACTCTGGCTAAAATTATCTGAACTCTCTGAGCTGAAAAGGAGCTTTAGTTTTCATCCTTAGAGACCTGCAGCCTGGCTATCTCTGTACAAATTATACAGTGCCCATTTTCCTCATAAGGAGTTACAACAAACCCTTAAGCAACGGCATTGCCACCGGCAGGTCATCCATTTTTATGTTTAGTCCATTCCAGCTGGATAACAGCAGCCATCTGAGAAGCCTTTTGACACTTGTGGTGTCTTTTCTTACATCAAAAGAAAAAAACAGCTTTGCCTGCTGATGCTAGAAAAACACATATCTAAGAAGAGGTTCAACAGTTATCATTTTTCTTTCTTTGCCTTAAGAAATGCCATGGAAAATTCGTGACTGTAGGTGTGTGATCTGCCAGCTAAAAGCTGTTTATATCAAAGTAATGAGCCTGAGGAGAGTGGCAATTAGGAGATCCCTTCCATATCTCTGTCTATTCAGGGAAACTCAAACTGAGAGGTTATTGGGTAGACTATTAAAATGCTTGAGTGGGAGAAATTTAATTGGTTTGGGTAAAGCTTTCCTGTTGACTCGGGACACAAGCTGCTGCTTCAGTGTAGGCTTGCAGGAGTTAGAATGTCCTCCTGCACAGGTTATCATATTATCTGTTTATCTCTAGTGCTCAAAAGGTTAGCACGTCCTCCGCACATATAATTACAACATCACATGGGAGCAAAAGCCTGTTTCAGGTTATTTTAGTGAAAGAGAGAATTTCGCTCCCCTACCCCATATTGAGCTGTCAAATAACACAATATCTAATAATCTGCTTAAAGCAAAATGTGGAAATATGTAAGCCATTGAGAGCGGCGTGTGGCAATCAGCGCTCTCCATCCTGTACAAGCTCATCAGAGATGACCTGTCTGAGAGTGATTTATTGTCTGTATTAATATCCTCTTTGTTTGCTACTGCCAGCTGTGCTATCAGATCAGTTCAGGTTTCAGCAAGAGATGTTTGATAATGACGCAAAATGAAAATTCAATGTCGAGCTGGTGTTTTCTTCTCAAATCCATAATATTAAATCTGTAGCTTTGCGTCCCACTGGGTGCGGATTATTGGATTTGTGATAGCAGATGTGTTTGTTACTGTCTCTGTCTGTGAAATGATGCCGGCACTCAGCAGGAAGGTTCACCATACAGTAAGTATTAGACTTCAGGCTGCTGTGGTTTGCAGATCGTTGCCAAAATGTAAATGTATACGCTGTAAGGATATCGTTTAGACTCTATAGAAGACAGATCAGCTTTAGCAAAGCCCTTCTTTTATGTTTAGACTTGTTTTTTCGCATCCATATTTAAGAAATTTCCATTAGAAAAATGCCCGCTTTTGTGACCCGAGGATGGGAGAGACTGTGCTTGAAGTGAATGGGTGAGGCCTTATCATTTGTTCCTTCTTTCCCATTATTAAGGTGGGATCTGCATAGCCCAATCTTTGAAAATTCCCCACAACCCAAAAACGGAGGATTACGACAAAACCATCCAACAGTTGCTGGAAACGCGCAATGCACGGGCAATCATCATCTTCGCCAGTGAAGAAGACATACGGTGAGGAGCGCAGTGGCGCAATCTGGATTCATACATGTTGCTTCTGACGTGCCACTTTTTTTCTTATTGGGATCTTGTAATCTCCAAGCAGCAGGTTCTGAAAAAATTAAACAAGCTAGAAATGCAATTTTAACAAGAGCCCATGCTGACTGCACAAACATACCTACAACAATACAAGCATTGCTCAGAGGAGAAGTAGGGAATTCGGGTTGGAACAAAGTAAAAGAGTTATTGTTTGATTTACAATGCCCCCTCAGCAATGTTTGTATAGTGAGGCACAGAATCAACCTTTAGCACATGAACATTTTGAATAAAGAATCCAGAAGTGAAGTGAAAATGATAACAAAATAAGCATGTCTGCCTGCAGACATGCTCTGTTTTATTTAAATATTACCATCTCTTCTTTCCCGGAACACAGCTCAAAATACGAACAGTAATAACCTTCGTTTGGTACATTCTCTAATGAGAAAAACCTCATGAGAGACCTTTTCTATCCAAAGAGCTGCTTAAGGCTAGCTGTGCCTTAGTTTGATAACTACAGAACTGCACACCTTTCTCACTCCCTTTTTCCCTCTTCTAATAATCATACGGATGTCGTTGCAGAGGAGTTCTCAACGCCACTAAGAGGGCCAACGAGGTGGGCCATTTCGTGTGGATTGGCTCTGACAGCTGGGGGTCCAAGGGCAGCCCTATCCATCAGCTAGAAGATATAGCAGTGGGAGCAGTCACAATACTGCCCAAACGCTCCTCCATTGAAGGTTTCTGCATCATAAACACCACAGGCTGCACTATAATTTGTTTGAATCTATGTCTTTCACATTTTTCTTCTACACTCTGCTAAACTTGAGGGTTCTCTCTTTAACACAAATGGTAGGGAAATCCTTTTGGTAAAGATGTTTAGGAAAATTCACCAAACACTTGGTGAGGAACTGGAACCCAGTTTAGTAGGATGGAGATAGGAATGACTCATCTTCACAGACTGCCTTTTCGACTTTAAATTAACTGATCAAGCATCAGAAAACCTCTCCCACGTAATAAAGCAAGAAATGATAATAATGTTAATCTATATAATAATGTCAACTTCTTGACAGTTTCCTTAATAACTTAAGTTTACACAGACTTTATCTTTGCTCAGTTAGAATAGCATTTGCATTTTAACTGCTTAGCAGTTTTCCCAAACAAGTGCAGGCTGTCATTTGTCATTCCAACCTTGAATAGCTATGATCCAGAAATGAAAGATGATATTCACATATACTGTATAAAAAGTGATATAAGATTAACAGTGTTTGGTATCAAATCAGGCTATTTTTTTTTTTTTTGGAATTGAGAATTGAATATTTTTGCTAAATGCCACAAGTTCAAATATTTTTTATCTTTTCCTTCACCAAAATTACAAAAAATAATATTATATTATTAAAGCTACAGTGTGAAATAATTACAGGGATATACAGTCAGAAATTTAATATATTATACATAACTATGTTATTTATCATCATCTACGAGCTCAGCCTCTTAACCTTAATATTTGCGTTGCCTTAGGATTCGTTATTTATAATTACATAGGAGCGGGTCTCGCAGCCATGGAGGCAGACATCTTTGCGCTACGGCAGCGCAGAGCCAACAAACTAGCGATTGCGAGATCGCCAAAATGTCACAACGATGTAGAAAAAATAACGGGTATATTTATTATCTTAAGTCTACATGAAATCTATACCCTACACAGACTAATGAAATACTATCTGTAAAATTATCTATGTAAACAAACCTCATCACTTGAGAAGGTAGGTGATGCGGACGTCGTGGAAGACATTTTGTCCCGTAACGCTCGCCGTACTGTTGGGGGGGAGAAGCGGTGGGGGGGAGATGTTCATGTTGCTGCAGTCTGCAGTCTGACCGCTAGATGTCGCTAAAAGTTACACACTGTAGCTTTAACTAATAAGATGTGAGTGGTTGCTAAACTTGTAGTTAGATACTGTAAGTCAATAATTTTTTTTGTTAATTCTTAGCCCATTTGCAATTGTATTTTTGATTTAATCACCTAAAATGCTTCAGACACCAAGAAATTATTTCAGTAAATCTGAGTGAGGAACACAACTCTAGTGTTTACACGGCACTATATGCTGCAAAACTTTAGCCAGCACTACACAAATAACTGGATATGCAACTAAAAAATAGACTTCCTAAACAAATTTTCTTTAAAGAATCAGAGAACATAAGAATCGCCACTCTGGACTGTGAGCAGTATCCTACATATCTGAGATTACTACTGTTAACCAGAGCTAACCTCGAAAACCACCACCTCACTCACAGCCCAAGACTATGGCCATACTAACATTTAAAATATATCATTGTGAACCATTTTGGGTTGAAATCTTACAGAGTAATTAGCTTTAAATCCACAACCCATGCATGCATGCATGCATACATGCCTGCATACACGCATGGATACATACAGGCAGGCAGGCAGGCATGCATGCATGCATTATTGACAAGGAGAATAGGTAATTACACAAGCAAATTGTACCCTTCTTTTTTGTAGTATAATGAGTACAATTATTTAAATATCATTAGGGAAATAATCTGCACTGATACATTAATTAATTAAGAAATAGATCCTTGGTAATAAAATGTATATTTTTAGAATTGTTGCATTGATAAAGAATAATTGTTTAGAATTTTTTTTTTATAAATCAAGTAAAAGCACAATAAAAGCTTTGATACAATGTTTGGCTTTTTCTTTTTAACAAACTATGAGCAGTCAAAACATTTTACATTACAGAAACTTAGCTATTTAGATTGTTTGAAGAAAAAAAGTTCCTCTTAGTTCTGCTTTTGACAATTGGATAAAATCTTCTTAAGATCACTTTTACATTTAAATGGTAATGTTAAGCGCCCCAATTCTAATTTAAAGGTTTGTATAAAGACATTTCAAAAAGCTCAGAAAAAGTCACTGATAATAATTGAAGTCAGAAAGGTGTATCTGCTCTAATGGTGTGTATTCCTGCTATGAGCTACCACACTAAATTGGCAACACTTTCTCAGTGGTAAAACATTGATCTATGCCGCTTCTAAAACACAATTTTGACCCTTTAAGCAGATTGTGTAGATGAAAAAAACATCACTTATTAACTATTTTTTTTGACTGAGTTCCACACTTGCTGCTGCACGTGATACTGCTTAAGCAGGCAATTTGTAAAAGATTCTCCCCCTGACTTTCAACAGTCCTTAGAGAGAAATTATAACCTTGATGGGTTTAAAGTGATAAGACTGAAAACCACTTTGAAAGAGAAAAGCTCCTCTTTCTCATATCACATGCTAAAGCCAGATCATTTAAATGGCTTAGTTTGAAGAACTGATTTTAGTTTTTTTAGAAAGAGATACTTGTGTTTGCATAATAATGTAAAAACAGGTCAATGATAAGTCTTTAAAAGCTTTAATTTTGTTTATTTTTATATTTTAGGATTTCATACTGCACTTTCCAGCATAGATCTGTACTTTTACAGATTATTTTAAATTGAAATCATAAATGGAACATGCCTAGCCTCCAGTCTGTGTCATTATCCATACACACAATTGTAAGTATTAAGGGGAGCATAATACCTAGGAAGCATTAGTTCATTAGATGTCTTGCTAAATGTAAAATGAGAGAATGTACACTATGTAGGCATAGGGGATGTTAGTTATCACCCTGCATCACTGACAGCCTATTGAAATTAACATCAGTAAAATTATTCTGCATCATTTGAATTAACATCAGCAAAATTATTCAGCCTAATTAAGCCTCCATCACCTTAACCCATGTGACTTGACTAGATGAAAGGGAAAAAAATATTACTTTTTGCTCTGAAAACTGTTGGTTTTGCAGTATATTATGAACAAAAACACATTAAACACTTCTATGCATAAAGTTTTGTCTCAAAACTATTTGCTGACACACACTGGCTTAATTTCACAACAAAAAAGTGTCTGTTCAAGAAAATTTTACAAAGTAGTACCTCCAGCATCCCCAATGCAACACCTCCAGCACCTCCCAGCTTCAGGCATTGGGCTGCTGTGCCACAAAGAAAGCCTGCGTTATTTATAATGTATCCTGTTTTTTAATTAATGTCATTTCCTAGATGAAAGTTGCAATTAAATTTCTGTGGCGCTTTAGTGGAAGAGGATCCACCATGGTCAAAATGTGATGAAGAAGTGCTTGCATGTCTTTTTCCAAAACCTCGCGGCAAGCTGTTCACCATTACTACAATCACGTCTGTGACATTATTTCCTGCAGGACTGATAATGGGTCCGGAACTGAGCTCTTCTCTTTTTCCTATGTCCTAGGATTTGATGAATACTTTATGGGTCTCACCCTGGAGAACAATCGCAGGAACGTGTGGTTTGCAGAGTTTTGGGAGGAAAACTTTGACTGCCGACTGCTCAGTGGTTCAAAGAGAGAGGACAGCAGCCGCAAATGCACAGGTAAATGTGTATAGAGGCATTAAGCAATTATTGAAATAAGGCTTGAAGATTATGTGCATATTTCACAATAAAAGCCACAGGCAGTGGAGCCTTTTTTTGGTTTGATTTTAAACACCTTGTCTAACACCAGGTGTGGGACCTGGTGGGTGCTGGACAGATAAATTGTATTATTAGAATAATTAATGCTCTACATGCATTCGTCATACTGCTCTAGCAGACCATCTGCTCCTAGGTTTCGTATCTCTCTTTCTCCCTTTATCTTGGTACAAAGAGCCAGACTATATTTTATTTAATATTGAAATTACAGAAAAATCTTCCCAAAGCTGAATTAATTCTCTTTAGAAGCCCATTCTGCTACTGCAGCATCTTGGTGATTTATTAATGATAGTATTGTTTCCAGTGGTGATGTATTCTCATGTTACCTAAACTGAGCCTGCCAATAGTGTGACAGGCATTTCACTGCATGAATTATCCACGCGCATGATGGCCGGGGAATGTGGGTTGCTGTATTAATCTTCCCTCCATACCTGATGACGGCAATAGCGCTTTGACACAAATTACAGTTTGCTGAGGGATTTTGTTTCCTTTGAAATCCCCTGTACGGTAAATTTCATCATGTGTCAAAGACAAAAGATGCTCCTCCACTTGCTCTAAGGGGCCTTCTTGCAAAGTGACAGCAAAACACATTTATTTTTTTTCTCACTCTACCCTAAAAAGTACAGCAACTATGTTGCAATTTTTAATTTGTTTTAGACCCCTTGCCAAGCTGATAAATGTGCTTCTTAGTGAATCGGAATAGTTTTAGTTTTTATTAATTCAAATAAAAAAGGATTTTGTATACTTTAGATCTCAGAGTTTCTCCAAAAAGTTGTATGCTTGATAAAACTAATATCCTTTTAAAATCCTTTTAATACAGAAATGTTGACCTTGCAGCAGGTATGTTGATCTACAGTATATGTAATCAATTTTTGACTTTTTGACTAGTGTAGACCAGTTAGTGAGGTAACTAACCTGTGGTTCTGCTGGGCCCAAGATGCTTAAGCTTGGGCTCTACAGCTCATCTTTGTTGTCTGGTCTCCTGCTTCTTCCTCTTCAGGGCACCACGTGCAAAACAATATCTTCATAAAATTCACCAGCAGAGAAAAATAACATTGATTGAGCTAAAAATGTCCTGGCCAATGCTGACTTTGATCTTAAGAAAACACTTTAGACCAAAACCTCGGATGACAAAAACCATTAAATCTTCACTGAGGATGTAAACCTTTCTTTGGACTCTCAGTAGCTTGACTTAGACTAGGACAGACTTTATTACAAACTGACGATAACTTTGTATACACAGCGTGTATACAAAATGAAATTTCAATGCATATAGCTTTTCAACACTGAAGAGGCAGCTTACAAAAGTGAAATGAACATGGTGCAAATGCAGTAGGAACATTGAGCTGAGTTCTATTTAAAGGGATATGAAAATCTTATACACGTACCATCTTAAACCATGCAGTGCAAATACGATGTTTAAAAGTGTGATGCAGAGTCTTTATTTGTGTCTTGATTAGAGTTTCAACCGTTTAACAGTCTGATTTTGACCAGTGAGGTGGTGTTTACAGTCCAGGTGAGGTTGTCTGGGTTGTGCACCCTCAGGAATTTGGTGCTGCTGATTCTTCCGGAAGTCGACGATGATCTCTTTCGTCTGCTCCACGTTCAGGCTGTTGTATTTTACACAAGCTCACCAGCTGCTTAATTTCCTTCTTCGGTTCCTTTTAACTCTTCCGTCAGACTGCGGAACTTTTTCAAATGAAATGCACAACACAATTTCATCTGAAAAGAGGACATTGGTCCACTTCATAATACCCCAGTAACCCATAGCCTAGGCAAGATGCTTCCGACATTTCTTCTGGTGTAGGAGTGGCTTAATATAAAAAAAGCAATAGTTTGAATACATATCCTAAATATATCCTTGTGGAGGCTGTTAAAGCAATAACTAAGTAATCATTTATCTTTGGTACATTTCTTTAAAATATTTTAAAGAGGTCATCTCAAGCAAAATAAATTGTATTAGCTGGTAAATGCATTTTCTTTTTTGTGTACTGTATATGGAGCCAGTAAAAGTCAAGAAAGGTTTAATTCCGTCTTAAAATCTTGTGTTGATATTGTTAGATGCTGTTTAGGTCATTTTTTTGAGTCTGTTCAGTTCTCTCTTCTTTTTTTTTTTTTTTTATTAAATCACAGTATTTATAGCATTTGCTTTGGAATTTTAAAACAAGTTCATTGACTTCTTTCTAACCGGTCCAATAAAACTTCAATTTTTTTGCACAGTACTTTTGTAGTTCATGTTAAATAATGCCAAGGCACCAAACAAATAAATCTAAATGTTGTGTTCCATGGCGTATTAACCCAATTCATCAAATGCAATTCCTTACACAATCCCGCAGTATTGTTTATCATGCAAAATCCATTTTCCAAAGACTTAGTTCTCATACTTGTCACATCATCGTACTCATAGTCTTCTGCTTTGTCTGGCTTTGTCAGTCATTTTAACAAAGGCTCCCACAATTCCCTCTCCCGAGACACCTCGGAGAGTCTCGACATTTTCCCAGGCCAGTCAAGAGACATAATCTCTCCAGGGTGTCCTGGGCTGTCCGCTTGGCCTCCTTCCGGTGGGATGTGCCTGGAACCCACTCTAGCAAAGGCTTTGAGGAGGCTGAGAAGTGTGATCCCTCTGTAGTTCAGTTCTCTTATTCTCTGTTAAATTTCTTTTTCAAATACATCAAAATATTTGCAGTTGAACTTCTAAACAATATCATAGACCTCCAGCTGACCAACCTAGTGGATCTGTTATTTCATGCAGTATTTTTGTAATTCATTATAAAGGATCCTAAGGCAACAAACAGATAAATTTATATGTTTGGCTGTTGGGTGTATTAAGACAAACAAGTCATTACGCCATCCCACGGCATCAGAACTTCTTCAAAGTTCCAGTTTAAATAAATGTTTCCATAGAAAATACCAACATCAGCGCAGAAACCCCTCTGTTTATGTGTAGCACTTAAGGGGATGAGTGCCTCAGCAACCTCGGTTAGTATAAAGAAGGGTCAGTTCCTTCTGTTCACAGTAACAACAGACATAACATAGCGGTATTTTGCGGAAGATGAAAAAAAGCCAACCAACAAGTGTTATAATAGACATGTCGATATAACTCTCTCGCTATAATGTTAATAGCTTATGTTACCTTGGCATGTTTTAAGTTTGTTAAGGACACAACCTCACAGTATAGCAATATTACACAAACAGTTTTACAGTCTGTTTAGTCATCTTTTTAAATCTTGTATAACGTGATCTAAATGCAGTCAGTGATATTCTTGATGCTACCTTTTGACAACTTGTTAGTTTTGTTGGGGTCATGCACAAAATACATGTTCAAGAATAGTGACATAGTGACATTTCTGTAAAAACACTCTGTTCAGATTGAGAATATAGGACACACACAAAATAAAAAAATAAGAACAATTTGGAGAGAAAATGGGCATTCTGGAAAGTGTCTTGGACGTTTGTGTTCATTCATATCATGGAAGCATTTATATTTCAAAAGGTATCTGACATGAAGTTTGATCGAATACTGTCAATAACTATTTATTTTTACAGTTTATGTTACTTGCTGTGAATTTGTTAGGTCTTCACTGCTATTATTTAAGAATTTAAAATTTCATGTTGCCCACAGGATTAAAACCATTTACAAGATTATATGTTTCTTTGATATTAAGCACACTCTGGATCAGTTTTTAGCTTGAACATGTAAGGCTGAATTTAAACCTATTCTGTTAGTGAGGTTTTTTAATATATTTTGGAAATAATTTCTGCACTGCTGGGTAATCGTACCTCCACAAATGAGAAATATGGACAGAGACGTACCTGGAGGGGTGTGAAGTGCCTAATTTCAAAACTGCAACAAAATGACTCCCAAGAATGCTTGTTGAAAAGTCAGAGGAAAAGGCCCTGAAAACTAAATGATTTAACTAGGAAAGATAAATAATTAAAGGCATTTTTATGTCCTTTAAATTAACTTTAGAATAGGCTTTGTTTCACAACCTTCTTAAGGTTATCCTTGGGAATCTTCTGCTAGTACAGTTTTACTTTCCGAATAACTTTTCTATAAATTGTTTGCGAACAGACAAATTCTTAACAATGACCTTATTTGATTTAGTTGTAGCCTTAAAAATGTGTGGAGGACTATCAGCAAACGCAGCTGTAGAGTCAAACCCCTTCATCATGTCATGGCAATGTTTTAAAAATCATATTTCTTTGGTCTTATGCAATAATTTTATTTCCTAAGAAACAGAATTTTGAGTTAGGTCATAATCTAATTAATTTATATAACCTGTGAATTTAGTCATTGAATATAATAAAAAAAAATACATTTATTTTGGGGGATATTCAAATTTATTGACAGGCACAAGAGCATTAGAATGTAAAATTCTGCCAGGAGACCTTTCAATTCCAAGACTGTTCTCTGAACTCCTTATGTGGAGCTTAGAAATATCAAAAAGGTTATGTGTGGGCTGAGATGTATGTTAAGATCTAAGAAATGGACTGAAATGTCAGAGCAGATTGCTTACGAGCTCATTCCCTTTTCGAAAAAGTCTCCCACATGCTTTCATTTTTCTTATTAACATGATTACTGAGTTCCTGCAGACATCTACCTCTGAGAAATTAATTTTTTTTTTTTCTGTTTTCTTGGTGATGCATTCTTTTGGTAAGTGGGAGCCTGAAAATCATAATTACAATGAAGATTACAATGATAACCATAAAATGTAATGGGAATATTTTTGTTACTATAATTTTTGGGCAACCTTTGAAAAGTAGCTTTTATCTCTTAGAATAAAGTTCAGCTTGCAACAAAAACCAAGAGAAGAGGTTGTGTTTGGGTATTCTGCAGAATGAGGTAAACCTTTCCAGCAGCCCATCTTAAAAGGGCAGTGCAGGAACAGGGGGATATAAAGAAGCAGGGAACCAGTGTAGCTGAGTCTGTAACTAAAGTTCATGGTGATCTTCATCTCCTTTCAGATGGGACAAATGAGCTTCATTGTTGCCTGCCTATTACTTTGAAGCACAGCCTAGTAATTCAGTCTGACTATGCTGAATTTCTTCACAAACACTTTTTTTCTCCCTCACAGCTCTGCTTTAGAGTTGATATAACCCACTGGGGAATTAAACACGTCTTCTTATTTCCTCTAACACGTTGTCCCCTTTAGCTGTAATTCCCTCAGAATCTAAAGTAAAACAAACAGAAAAAAAAACGTTAATGAGGAGCCGGATAAAAACAGAAGCTGTCAGAGCTGATATAACATAAAGTTTAACAGCTTTTCGGCACATTCAGTTAAAAACTGTTGTTTCTTCCCACAGGCCAGGAGAGGATTGGGATCGACTCCAAGTATGAGCAGGAAGGGAAGGTGCAGTTTGTGATTGACGCTGTGTATGCCATGGCCCACGCTCTGCACAACATGCACAAGGATTTATGTCCCAATCATCCTGGCGTTTGTCCACAAATGGAGTCCACAGATGGGAAGACTCTGCTCAAGTACATACGCAATGCCAGCTTCAATGGTAGGGGAAACATTATACAAGTTTACTCATTATATAAAGTTATTACTTTTAAACTATATGCTCACCATAAACATCAGATACATATGGGCATGTGTTTTCTTGCCCTCTGTATTCTGATACCACAAAAGGATTTCTAGTTTAATGAGTTACTTCCAGATGCCACCTCAACGAAAAGCCTCATGAAGACCAAAAAGTGGTTTAGAGGTTTGAAGCAGGGTATGTGCTGTTGTCCTGAAAACAAGAAATGTATATAATATTATGATTACCGGAAAGCAGCCATGACATGTCCGTCTACCAAAGCTGACGGGCCAGGGGAGAAGAGCCTTCAATCAAGATGCATATGGTAACCTTAGAGAAGCTGCAACATAGCAAAGCTCAAGAAGATACAATCAGTCTTTAAAGAGACGATTTTCATTTACTCTTTAAAACTGGCCTTCATGAAACAGTGGAAAGAAAAAAGTAAATGCGGAAAGTTAGATTGGGGAACATTAAACATGTGCAGGAAGGTATTCTGGTAAAATTAAAGTAGAATGTATGTTTTTGGGCTACATGTGCTTTTGATTTGGGGAGGGTACTGTACCTCGGTTCTTTTATGGGACCGACAAAAATGCTGTAATATTGCAAATTTTCAAAACACGCCTCGTCTTTCGGTTTTGATGATTGATGACTTTGTTGTGAACTTGCTGGTAGCCTCATAAAACCTCTTAGATATGCCACCAAAGTGTGGCATCACTTTAGAAAGATTGATGCAAAGAGTGCGCGACGCAATATACGGTATGCAAAAACGACACAGTTGCTAAGGCTGGCAACACCACTAACTTGATATAGCACCTAATTGTGCACAGGATCAATTTAAGAGCAGAAAGTTGCTCAGCCATCCTCCTCTCAGCAGCCCACAAGCAGTAGAAAACCGGAGCTGGGTGATTCAAAATCTCCACCACCGGAGAAATTTAAACTTGCCTCATCGACAGGCAAGTTTACCTTTGTTAGCTTTATTGCAACTTAATAGGTGCACAAATTTGGCAATCAGGTGTCTCTGTGTGAAAGCATCATCCAAACCCTCAGAGCGTCCACTTTCTACTGCTGGAGGCACCATCAGCGAGGAGTGGGCTTGCTTGAGAAAGCAGACATGTTAATCTTTTTGAAAAAAAAGGTAAGTAAAAAGGTCTTCAATATGTAAAAATGAGCATTAGCCACTGTCTTGTCATTTATTTGCAAGTTCTCTTTTGCACTGAAAATAAGTTTTATGTTAAAAAAGTGCTTTGAATTGTAAAATCTAACTTAAAAATGAAAGTCAAGATTTATACTTTAATATTTAATGTAATTTTCTTTTACTGGAATTGATATTATAAAACTAGTATTTGAAATAGGTATTGGGATTGGTATCATATCGAAAATTTTTGATTGAAACCCAGTCCGACTTTTGGTTGTGGAAGATTAATAATAATCACCTCAAGCTCACTATTCCCATGGAGATACATTATGTTAGCACCGTCATGTTGTGAAAATGCTTTATGTAAGCTGAGAGGTTACATTTCCAGAAGAATAACAACAATATCCTAAGCTCACAGCCAGACCTGGAATCTCTGAGATCCAAGTATATTTATATCTTAAAAAAGTCTAAACTTAAATCCAATTTAGAAACAATGTGGATTTATTACTCCAAAGTGATCACCACCTAATTTAACTGCAGAAAATTCTTTTTTATGGAAAGATTAGAGATATAAACTTTAAAATACTGCATTGCAAGCAATATGTGAGTCAAAGGGACCTATGGACACCTTTTAGTTTCTAATATAAAAAAGTTGAAAGTGATGTATTGTTTTTATTTCCTTTCTTTTTACTTGGCAAGCATTTGGTTGGTCACATGAAATCTCAGCAAAGTATCAACTGAGGTTTGTGGTTGCTGGAAAAGGACAAAAACTAAAAAACAGCATGGATTATAATGTTTTTTTTGTCAGGCATTTTATTTCTAAAGATGGTAATTTCCTGCTTTAGCTACCATCATACCCCTACACACTGTGCTCATTACTGCTACATTACTCATTTTAGAAAAAAATAAATAAATAAACAAAAAGAAAGTGCACAAAGGCAACAGCAACTTGATATAATAAACAACAGGAAAGTAAATTCCACACCTGTCGTGTTTTATGTTTAAATTGCCATATAAACCAGCCAAGGCAAAGCAAGAAGAACACCTGCAGATGGTAGTCTAGAACTTGCTGGTCAAAACAACTCGTATACAATACAGCGCCACAAAGAGTGGGTGAACATAAAAGAATGATCTAACAGCCCAAACCAAAATAAACTATGACAAAAATATAACCTCAAACAAAAGCTATAAAATCAGGAGTATTTGATTCATGCAAGGGAGCCAGAACGATATACATACATAGAATAATAGTAAACAAAAGGAGCAGTTGTGCTGATAACAAATGCACCACAGATGCGACTCAGGTAATGGAAAAAAACAACAACAAAGAAATACAGTGGATGGTGAAAAATAAATAAATAAAACACTGGAACAAATACAAATAACTAGAATAGAACAAAAAAGTTCTAGAAAACCGATGAGCCGTTCCAGCTTCTAGCGAAGACTGGATGAAATGATTATGCCCGAATGAATTTAGGTCATCTGGAACCAAAGGTGGAGAAAAAGGAGACAATTTAGGGAAGCAGCCCTGGGGATCTCCAGATAAGGGTTAGCATTTCAAGAGCATTGTCTGCTGTCCAGTTAAAGGGATTTGGGGAATCGGTCTATAGACTGTCCTGGTATATGCGAAGGTTTAAGGAGATAGCCCAGTGCAAACAAATGGAAGCTTAAGTTTATACATAGAATTATCTGGCACAATCCCATCAACAAAGTTTCCATGAACAGAAGGATATATTTGCCTCCCCACCAGACTGGAGAAAATAAAAATGCAAATGTAACTTTATGGTAAACTGTCAGGCATAACAACTGGAAGGGTTAGAAACCGAATCAAGCAGAGTTGGATCCCATTGAACCAATTCAGCACTGAGCAAAAGGTATGCAGACCTAGGTTCAGGAACCTTAAACTGGACACTATCTGCATAACCCTCTGCAATCTCATGGGAAAAGTCAGCAGAAGATAAAAATCCAATGAGAGACAGGATCAGGACATTGCAGCCATATAGAAATCCCTAAAAGAATACCCAACTGCTCTGTGTTTCTGTATATGGCACCCAAATGTTTTACAATGTATTAAATTATTGTTTTTGTTTTGCTCTGGACAACTTATTTCCCCTAATGACATCATAAAGGGCAGAATTTTCTGAGTATTTTGAGCACACATTAGCTAAGAGGTAGAACAGGTAATGATAGAAGTGAAAGGTTTTTTTTTTCTTTCATTTGTGAATCTCATAAACAGGCTTCAGGACACATATGATTGTTACAAAATGTTTATTAAGGTAATTTTGCATAACATTAAACCTCTGAGTCATCTAGGCAGGCATCCAGTATGTTTTTGCAAAGTTTCCAGTCCATAAACATTAAATCATACTATTGTCTATGGTTTTGGTCATATACAAGTTGATAATCCTCTCCCCCTAGAGGTCCGTTATAGTTCTGTTATGTGGAGCTAGTGTGCCTTGCAGCATTTTCTAACTTGGGGATAGTAAATGGAAAATGTATTCATGTGTACATGCATAAAAAAAAAAAAACTTTCTTTATAACTAGTGGAACTGAGAAAACCCAGGCTAAGTCTTCACAATTCACAGCTAAAGAACACTTGCAACTTTTTGGCATACAGCAATTTCCATAATGAACTTCATATTCTACAGTATCTACGTGCCAAAATAATATTCTAAAGGTGTTCTGTAATTTTACCTCTCATATCAATGACTAGAACCTGAGGTTATAGTTAATTAATATGTTATTCTAATCAAGGGTAAATCCAAGCAAAGATCTTTAGTTAAATGATTATAATTGACAATTTGCTTAATTACCAGGTGTTATTAACCACTTACCTTTGTGGCTGGATTGTTTGGATGTCTAAATTTCAAGCAGAGTCATTAATCATTAAACACAAGGAAAATATTTGTCTCTGTCTATTCAAGTTGTTCAAGTTGGCTCTACTCTTTTTAGACAAGCAGTAACTGAAGTATACATAATAGCAGACTACCACAATTTAAACAGAAAGGGTGCTTTATTTATTGACCCTATTAATCCCTATCACAGAATTATTATGTGTAATAAACTATGCAAACACTACAAGCTACTGGAATTAACACAGGATACATGAAATAATAAGTAAACATAAAAGAGTTCAAAAGAGTTCCTGAGGTAGAGTCTGAGCTGATAGCTCAGCTGCTGTGATGCACTGAGGTGATGTCTATCAGATTAGCAGGAAAAATTATATTTAGCTAACAGAAGTGTGACAATGGTCTTTGGTAAAAGTCAAATGAATCAAGTTTGATTTAATCCAATAATGAGCAATTACCAACGTACACAATATATATGAAGTGAGCCCTGAGATGTTTGTGAAAATGAGTGGTAATGTGGGAAATGTAACCCGATTTGCATCATAAACTCTTTTAAATACGAGGATATTTTGAATAGATAACTGTGGGCATCTGCCAGAAAACTGAAAATGGGCAATCTGTGAATCTTACAGTGGGTTATTGCTTGAGGTTGTATGGCATAATCAAGATAAAAATGGTTCAAAGAGCAAACAGTAAATCCTCTCTCATGGTCGTGACAGTTACCAGTGCTGAATCCAAAAGAAAGCCTGAAGGTTTTGCTGTAAAGAAGAGATCATAGTCAGTGTCATAGACTTTGGACAAGAGAGATTGTGAAAAGAAAAGAGGAATGGTCAAAACTCATTCTATTTTTGTGCTTCAGCCTCCACAAATACTGTTGAAAAAGACAAGCTGTTGACATACGTACCAGGAAGGGAGGAAATCACCAACAGCAGAATTGTAGATAAGTGTGGCACTGGTCATTTTATATTGAAATAATTTTAATTACTTAATGCACAAAA